AATCACAAAATTGCATGGGTTAAATTTTTGTGTTCCCTCCTGTTAATTTTGTGTTCCCAGTACGTTCCCTCCTGTTAAATTGGTTAGCATCAGAGAAACAGAGCGTTATGAAAATAATGAATATACAAACAAACACTATTTTACAACCTCCCTCTTAGCATCAGAATCCAAATGCAATTCAGGGCCACCAACCCTGCTCTGAATTGTGACCTCCTGTGCTTGAAACAAATTGCAGATTCTTGTTTCTTCAATGGATCTGGATATTTACATGGCACTACAATTCATCTGCAGAGTTGCGACTTCTTGGTCACAGTGCCATCCTTGCCCTAGAGGTAGGATCGTTACAAGCAACTTTTTGTCTAGTGTTCCAGCAACCATCTCTGGTGAGGGAAGATTAGTGAAAGTGTCATTGACGATTGATGCAGTCTCAGTAAACTCAGGGCCATGCGTCCCCCCCCTGGATTTCAACATCATTGTATCATCGAGTGTAGCAGGTCAGATCAGCCTTGTGTACACGAGGAAGATGTGTGAATGACTGTAAGTGTTCAAGGCAGCATGCATGCTTCAACATCTGTAAAATTTCCGATAATCAAACGTTGCATACTCAAATTGTTTCTTTTTCAATTGTGCCGCATTGACATCTTCTTGTGATTATAATAATATATTTATATTAATATTATTATAAAAAGCAGAATATTATCAATGAAAATCTTGTAATTACCCAGCAATGATCTGCTCCGCGTTTTGATTTCCAATTAAAATATTTATAATAAAATAAAAATATCAATACAAGTAAAAAATAGTACCTCTATTATTAACACTTCTTCTTTAGGAGACCCAAACCAAACCAAACCGAACAACAACGCTCATGTTTTGTCACCTTGGACTCTGTCAAAAAATAAATTGTTTTTCCAAGAAAAAAAAAAATCAATTCGCGTCTGTCCTACCAAAAAAAAAAACCAATAGGATAAATAATTAATATGTACGCGTCGATCATTCATAAACTCCTTTTATTATAATATTTTTAAAAATATGCGACAACAACAAAAGAAGCAGAGGTGAAAACAAAGAAGAGGCTGTTAGTGGGTAAGTGTTTTAAGGATGGTGGTGGTGGTTATTGCCACTTGTCATCACTCATTGTCACTCTAGTTTTTATAAAAACATATATTTCACATGAACAATTCATATCAATACCTTGTTCTAATGGATTTTTTATTTAATAAATAGTGGATATAAATGTATTTTGGTATATGAAGGGAGCAAATTGTTACTTTACTTAGAACCAGGAAAGTTTTTAGGTGAATTTATAGAAGAATTAAAAGTTGATTTGATTTGGGGTGATTTAATAGAGGATAAAGAAGTTGTATTAACAATCATTGATTCAATTGACAATCTTTTTCAAATAATATTGACTGAGGTTAGAAAAATATTTTATTGTAAAAATTGAATTTAAAAAATTGTTTATTGCAATAATTATTTTTTAAAAATTTTTTTTTAAATTATAAGGATAATAAACAGATGAATGAAATTACATTTAACAACATAATTGAAGCTCACAAAAGGCATCAGAAATTACATGATCTTTATCCAAGTGATCTTGTTATTCTTGTTACTTTACAAGTTCGACTTATTCCATACTTTCAGCAATTCCTTTATGAAGATAGTGAAGAATGTGATGATGCTGATGTAAATGATGATTTGTTAAAAGACCCTGATTACACAGAAAATGAATTTGCCATTGAAAAATTCAAAAAAAAAATTCTAAAAGTAAGATAATTCTAGTTCTCAATAACAGATTATTTGCTTATTCATTATAGATGCTGCCCAAATTAAATCCAATATCTCAAATAATTTGGAATTTGGGCAACATGTATATTATTCATCATTAACTCTATTATTATAAATTTAGTATATCAAATCACATGATAACATTCCATCTTATACACTTGAAATGGCAAATTCGATTCTCAGCTGTGATGAAATTCAAAGCAACCATTTATTGTTTGAAGGAATTTTATGTTGTTCATACTTGGAAAAAGAACAACCAAAACTTTACAAGCAAATTGAAACAAAAAAAAATTTGAACTATTTTAAGTTGGATGTTGAAAGATATAAGGCTCAATTATCAGATAATCAAATGAAATTAATAAAAGATTTGATCATCCACAACACTCTTGATTATAGGATTACTAGTCAAAATCAAAAACTAGATCTTGCAATAATTAATTTAGTAGATAGCTTTAAAAAGATATGGAAATTAAAATGTTATCAACGATTTGATAAATATGTAAATGAAAAGACATTTGGGCATAATATTGTGGATAAAATAATTGATTTCATATTCTATGATATAGTTGCAGAATCTAAATGGTAACTCATGAGTTTATTAATCATAATATTAATCATAATGATGTATCATAGATATTACATATGTTAATACATATGTATTATTATTTAAAGGATGGATGTCCAGCACAGTCTACTAAATTCAGAAATGCCACCCAAAATATAACTAGGTATCCAGATTTTTATGCTTATGAGGAAAACTATGGGTATTTCTTTAATCATGAATATTTATTTCTAGAGATCAGTAATAGTCCCTGGGCTACTGGGCATGATCACATTAAACATGTAAATGAGGATAGGTTTAGATTATGTAAATTTCAGAAAGATGCACATAAATATGTATATTACATATTGAAAAACAAAAATCTGAAGTATCTTAAATTATTATTAGATAATATTGTGTTTATATCAATTCATTTTCATGAGTTAAAAATGGATATTAATATAATGGATTGTAAAATGCAACCATTTTACTTAATAAACCCATTTCAACAAATTGATCTCCCACTTCATCATTTAGATCAAAAAGGATCAATAGATTCTTTGGTTTCTTTATGTCAATCATTACTTATATTAAATCATTTGATAAAGGAAAATACCATCACATTGGTAAATTAAACCAAGAAATAAATACAACAATATCCACACCAACTAATCAACTAATCATGACTTTAGAACCTGGTTCTGGGAAGTATCTTTACTACAAATTGTACACCATAATTCAAATAATGACATGGATGAGCTTGGTCTTGAGTCACTCTACAATTATACAATTAACTACTTTATTGAAAAATGTGAGGATTATATAAAAGGAAATCCAGTTAAAATTCTACAATCAGTTTATTCTAATACTAATGAACAATTTATGGAATTGAAAAGTATCTTCCTATTTTTAGTAATTACTATTGATAGAAAAAGCGCATATTCTAGATAGATTAAATTAAAAAATTTTTCAGTGTAGTCAAACTAAGATATTTAATTTAATATTTCTGGAAAAAAAATATTGTTTTTTATTTGCATTTTTTAATATGTAATATATTGTAAGATGGAAATTTGACTTGTATTTGAGTTAACTCTAAATTCAATATATCTTAAAAATTAATAAACTATTAAACAAATTTATAAACTAATACACAGGAATTACTTCCATAATTGGAACTCCATCTGGTCACCATGATGCTTTCTTTATTATTTTTCTTTCTTCTTGGTAAATTTCATAAGTAATCTTTTCTTTCATTAGATAAGCTTCAATTGCCTGAGTATCATTTATTTTGAAAATGTAAGGAGCAATTTTTTCACCTTGTTCTTTTTTTAAAATACTTCAGATAGTACTATAATTCTTGGGTTCCATTGTAGATCTGATGTAAATTAATTTCATATTATTATTTTTATATAGGGGTAATTCTATATATTAATATTAAGAAAAAACAAATATAACAAATGGGGGATTTTAATAATCACATTACTAAACTTTGATCCCTGAAATTCTTGGTAATACAAATGTTCACTTTGTCTGGTTTTGTTGCAGCATGCCCCATATGATCTTTGTACTATTGGAAAAAGTTGAATATAAGTTATAAGTTAATCAAATATATAAAATAAATACTTATTTCTTTAAAGTATAATAATAATGAGAATAGAGAATAAGTCTTTGCCTGCAAGTATAATAATGACTTATTAATAAAGGAAAATGTTATCATTCACATTTAAAAAAAAAAATAAATAATAATAATAAATAATTGACACAATTCTGACATACAAGATAAGATCACAGAAGCCTTGAACTTTAATTCTAAGGTAACCTATTGAAATCAAATTGATTAAAGTTTTACCAAAATATAAAGAAAAGTCAAAGCAATATATCTATATATATATAAAAAATCCATATAATGGGTTTTGTGCGCAGTCACGCGACTTTTTTTCTATTCTAAATTCAATTGAAATAGCAAGTTTCACAATATAAAAAAGATCGACGATCGAATTTTGTCACTATGCCACTTCCAAAATATGGATTTTCCTTTATTTATTCATTTGTACAGACATTAGATGTATCATTAAAGTATTAACTAGTTATTAAATATAAATATCCAATGTCATGAAACATCATGAATGTTCTAGTATTCTTAATTGCCATAAGCATTGAAAGATTCCAAGTATTACGAATATTTGAAACATTACGAATGTTTGAAAACTTGCATATGGAATGTCCACTAACAAAAAGGAGGTCAGAGACTATTAAATTGTCTGTGTAATCATCAAAAGATATAAATATTTCAAGACTTGTACCAACTGTAATCCTTATGATATAGATATACACTCAATTTTATCAGGGGTCCTCAGACTCCCCATATTAATATTGGACATCCCATATGATTTCGAACATTAATATTAATATTAATATGATGTCCAAAAACTTTCGAACATTCGAACATGAACACTATGTCCATATATTATTAATATGAAAGAACAGGTAATTTTGTATTACAATTTTTTATTATGCAAAATTAATTTAAAACCCAAGTACAAGTCCTACGTGAAACAATGTATTCTTCTTTTGCCGATAGTAATAGGTCAATCATAATAATAAGGGATAATCAGAGTCCTCCTCGATATATATAATTAATTATCGCATAAATATTGGTTTTTTATATAAATATTAACTGTTGCCAAGCGTTCGTTAAATGTTTAGCATCCATTTTAATATGGTTTGTTTTTCCTCAGAATCAGGACAAAATCTGATTTCCCGGATAGAAATTTTCAGAAGAAGGAATTGAAGAAGCTGCATCATTGTTTTTAAAATGATGGAGCTTAAGATGTAATTGAAACTTTTCTATATGCCATCTAGTAAAAGGGGAATATGATTTAAATTATTAGATGTTGGTTAGTTGAATCAGCTGTAACCCATGATCTAAGGGATAATCTTTTCCCAGTTATATCCCATTGAACTTCAGTGATTTACTAGTGGCCAACATCAGTTTGTGAATTATTGAGTAAACTCACCCCAGAGTGCCTAATTCTTTTTACATTTGAAGAAGAATTTGGTTGTGAACATGAGTCACAGCCAACTGAGTAAGACTACATATAATTTTTAAAAAATTTTTAATTATTTTAAATAAATAAGTAAAAATTGTTTTTTGTCAAAAAAAAAAAAACTGTATGTCATGACAACTAGTACTGGTAGTATTAATTTAATTTAATTTTTAGAATATAGAAATTTTTAATAAAAAATTCTGTTGCAAGTGTCACGCGAAAGTTGTAAAAAACCTATTTATTTATGCGTGATATTTTATCCACCTGTGACGTATTGCAATATATAACAACGGCTGGTACAGTATCAAGGACTTCGTAATCCTTTAGAGCAATGATTCTACGATTATTTTACAGTAATAATTACGCGATTTTAATTTCACGTAAATCGCGTATTAGCATTAAAGTTATTGAACTTTAAAATTTTTCCTTTTGCCCAACAAATATTATTTTAAAGGAATAATTGATTTATTAGTCTTTTAATAAACAATTTAAACGTTTTCTGTCAGAATAGATTAATTGTTTCAAGTTGAAATTATCCAAAACAATTAAATTTTCATCCTTTGTGTTTGATGATGTATTGTTGTTCCCTATTTTTCAGAGAATTAAGTTACACGAAATGTTTAAATTTGTTTAATATTAAAAATATTTAAATATGTGGATGGAACTTGTAAAAAATTTTTATTATTTATTTTATTGAATTACAAATAAATTTAAAAAAATATATAATATAAAATTATTATTATTAATAAATTTCTTTTCTCTCCATTCCTTCAAATAATTACCTTACGTTTAATTTTATATAATCCTTTCTTCTTTCCCTCTTATTTTTTTTTAGTATTTAACCATTCTAACTGATTATTTTATTAATTTTTGAAAAATGCAAGCCATAAAATGTGTTGTTGTGGGTGATGGGTATGTGAAAAATGCATATTGTATATAATAAAGTCCATAAATTACACAATAAATTTATTACAGTGTTTTGATCTAGTTGTATAAATACATGTACACATATATATGTATATATGTATTAAAGAATATTATATTCAGAAAAAAAATCAATCACAAACATTTACTTATGACATTTTAATTAATTATTTATTTATTTAGTGCTGTTGGTAAGACCTGTCTTTTAATTAGTTATACTACTAATGCATTTCCTGGTGAATACATCCCCACCGTGTAAGTTTTAAATATTTATATTTATATTAATATTTATTTTTATTTTTTAAAAAATAAATCTTTAATTTTACTTTGTTTAAATAGGTTTGATAATTATTCTGCAAACGTGATGGTTGATGGTAAACCTATTAACCTTGGTCTTTGGGATACCGCTGGTCAAGAAGATTATGACCGATTGCGACCACTTTCATATCCTCAAACTGATGTCTTTTTGATTTGTTTCTCGTTGGTCAGTCCTTCTTCGTTTGAAAATGTTAGAAGCAAGGTAAGCACTAATGATAATGATGTTAATATATATTTTTTACAGAAACTTGACTAATTAATAATTAATACGAATAATTGATATCATGTTTTATTTTGTTTTATTTTTTAGTGGTATCCCGAAATTACCCACCATGCTCCAAATATTCCAATCATTCTAGTTGGTACAAAATTGGATCTTCGAGAAGACAAGGACACTATCAATAAATTACGTCAAAAATCTCAATTACCCATCTCATATCCTCAAGGACTTCAAATGGCAAAAGATATTGCAGCTGTTAGATATCTCGAGTGTTCTGCATTAACTCAAAAAGGTTTAAAGAATGTATTCGATGAAGCTATTCGTGCTGTTCTTTGTCCTGCTCCAATACAAAGACGCAAGAAAAATTGCATTATTTTATAATCTAAAAAGAAGAATCCAATCATCATCTAATAGCAAAAAACCCAATGTGAGTAAAAAAAATATTTATATATTTTTTTTCTCTCTAATAGAATGATTTATTACATTCCTTTTTTTCATGTATTAGGTTACATCTTATCATTATCATTATCATTAATTTATTTTGATTGGGTTTAACATAATAATTAATTGTAAAAAGTCATAATAATTTATTTATAAAGTTCATGTAAATTTAATATGCATTCAGTAGTGTATTATATATTTATTATGTAACTTCAAATCTCAAGTTGTTTTAAATTTTTTTTTAAAAATACAATATTTTTTAACTTATTTTTATTTAACATAATAACATATAATACAAGGTATAATTTGTGGAATTTTAACGTATTTCCATCTATATATATTAATATATATATATATCCAAAAGAGAAAAAAAGAAATATTAAGCTATTTGTGTATATATAAGCGATAGTAATAGTAAAATTAAAAAGCAACGAAACGACTCATCAACAAAAAAGTTTATATTTATGTTTGATTTTTGTTTGACCTTTATCTCCTTTGATGAAAATGGCACATAACCCGATTTACTCTCTTAATATCTCCAGCTCTATATTCTTTACCGATTGCAATAAGTTCAATAGAAACGAGGAATATTGACCAAAAGTCGATTTTGAGTTAACAACAGTGGTATGTGTAACTCATCAAGAAGAACATTTTTGGCTTAGAAACCATACCTACTGCATATCAAAATAAGTAATGATTAGACCCGAGCCCCGAAATTTTTTACAAATCAGAAAATTTTGGGATAATCAAAATTTTATTATATATTTTTTATATCAAGCAATAGAAAAACAAAGTACCATATATTAACAGTAGTTGTGGAAAAGTCTCGGTTTATTCATATTTGTATTGAAGGCATTATTATTCAAGCCCTCAAAAAAAAAATTTTTTTTTGAAAAGTATATACATTTTTATACCTTTTCATAACTTTATTATTATTAATTCTTGTTCAAGAATTAGTAAAATAAGATAATAATAAATAAATAAATAAATTTCTATGATCCAAAGTAAATTAGTAAAAATTTATAATAAATATACTTATATATTTTCTTCATTTTTATTGTGCATTATTAACTATAATGCCCAAGCCAAAATTATTATTGCTGCTGCTGCTGCTGCTGTTATTGTTGCTGCTGTTGTTGCTGTTGTTGTCGTTGCTGTTGTTGTTGTTTATATTCCAATCTCCATCTCCAGAAACATCACCCAAAGATGTATATACATCTTGTGGTTGTATTGGTGGAGTTAACAGTGATAATGAAGGCGATAGAGTTGAACTATCTACTATGTTTTTAATATGATTTTCATTATTATTGTTGTTGTTTTGTTGCCATTGTGGTGGTTTAGCTGACTGTGGTGGTGTTGACAACATATTGTTATTTTCATCTTTTGATGTATTATTATTATTATTATTATTATTATTATTATAATGAAAATGTGGTGATTGCTGCAATGGTGTATTATATTGAGAAATTTGAGGTGATGGTTGTATTGATGAATAATATTGATAGTTTCCTTGTGAATTAATTTCTTCAGGTTCTTCAGATAGTGGATTATTATTACTCCTATCATCATCATTGCAATTTATTTGTTGATTTTGTTGTGGTTGAAATGCACAAAAATTGATTTTTTCATCACTTTTAAAGGTAAAATTGAATTGATCATCTGTGCTTTGCAAATTTGAACCAAAGTAATCATACTTTGATGAGCCGTAATGTCTTGATCCTCTTGAATAACTTAATGAGCCATGTCTTTTAGGCATAAAAGGTCCTCCTGACTGTTTCTTTACTACCATACTGTATTGCTTTCTCAAAATTTTATCATCATCACTAACAAATACTTCCCAGTCTCTAATTTCTACATCACCATTTCTCAATCCATTATGTGGATGTACAGTAATACCTAACCAATCACCAATCATTCTATCAGTTGACATTATTGAATTACTACCATCTTTTCTTAGATTAACAAACCCCAAGAGAGTAAAATTAGTATCAACTTGCGATATTTGTAAAGCTCGAAAGGTCAAATGCGACAAAGAACGACCAGAATGTGGTACTTGTAAAAGAACAAATAGAAAATGTAGTTACAATTATGCACAGTTAACGAAATCGATGCGAGATAAACAGAATGGCATGAAATCACAAAATGACAAAAGTTACTTAGATTCATGTTTAGAAGATATACAAAAAGTGCAGTTTGGCCCATTATTTGAAGAATCAGGTTATTTATCCATGGTCTCAAGAGGATTTGGTGTTGATATAAACGAAGGCCAAAATATTGTTGGAATGTTGTCTACACCAACGATTCCATTGCAACAAAATGATGGACAAAATTTCGCTAGCATTGTTAGTAATTAATCTCTAATCTTTATTTTTCTGCTGTTTATTTCATTAATATTGTTAACACAATTTTATTATTATGATTTTTTTATAATATATAAATATAGGATGGAACATCGGTGATCACTAGTGAGGTTCTTTATCATTCTAGCGAAATTGCATCAAATATTCCTAGGGTATCTGAACAATGTTTGGTTTGTATTT